TGTCGCCTCACAGCAAGACGTTCCTGGTTTTAATCCATGTTCTCCACTTTCTTTCCAGGTACTCCGGCTTCATCCCACAGTCCAAACAGTGTGCACGGGTAAGTAGTAGAGATGGCATGATGCCACTTTTTTATGTCCGATACCGATATCTTAAATTTGGATATCTGCTGATACCGATATGAATTCAATATAGTCTATGTTATGATCAATAAAACAGTTTTTTTTATATTTTGCTGCATTCTGTATACGTTCACACTCAAATTTAAGATACAAAATACTAAAGCTATTCTATTATACTTGTATGCAAAAAATACAATAAACCCAAAATATTTTGCAGTTAAGCAATACTGAAGTTTTTATTTAAACTTTAAGCAGAAATCTAAGTATGTAAGTAATATTCACAAAGTAAATTAAAATACAATTTTATGCAGATTTCAAAAACTCTTTGGTTCTGAAAAAATGAAATGCACTATCAGCACAAAATAATGTTTATATTCAACAACTTTAAACAAAGGTTATGGATCCTTGGACCCTTTATACTTAAAGCTTAACATAAACAGACATCCAGAGTGGAAAGCAGTGCAAATAAATGCAAACACAGCTTCACGACACTCATCTTTTAACAAGATGGGTGTCAGTGTGAGCTGTTTCTATCACATTTAACCTGAGACTGAATTTTGTGTAATTTCTATACAAAACTAAACACAAGTATGAAAAAAAGTGTTTTTCTTAGTTTTTTTTTTCGAACCATGAAACTGTTTAGCCTTCAGTTTTTTGTCAAAGTAAAACTTGAGCCTATCCATTGTACGGTCAGACTTAGCAATGACAACGCACAGAGGTCTGAGCTCCATATATCGGTTGTTAAGCTTAACGTGGGATTGCTTTACAAACATTCGAGATGAACTTGCACACCTGCTTTACTTCTCTGGGATCGCTTGCTCGTAGATGAAATGCCAGTTTAGTGAGGATTCCAGTGTGAACTCCAGACCGCTGAGAGGTCTCACACACAACAGCTGCTCCATTACGTGACGCATACTGCTCTGACGTGTTAAGATCATGAGTTGGGTTACAACATGTCGCAAGTTTGGTGAGGTGCTTTCCTGATACTTAATGGATCAGGTTACTTTTTTTTTATTTCTCCCTGATATCCAATCCAATCATTTAGCTCAGGATTGGACCCATACTGATACTTTATATCTGATTGGTCCATTCCTTGTAAGTAGGGATGGGAATTCATAAGAATTCCTTCATTTTGATTCTCTTATCGATTCTTATTGGGCTCTCATACCATCACTAAGCAGTCTAAGCACTTCAGACAACCAGACATGAAGCTGGGAGTTCA